GCCTATGGCCACCATCCCCGGCCGTCCAAAGTGAGTGTCCCAGGGGGAGCAGAGTGGGTGTCCCAGTGGTACACGGGGGTGGGCTATTTCGGCCACCACCCGCCATACGAAGGAAGCCACGAGACCAGCGTGGGCTGTCTAGTGCACAGCGCATGGGTATTGGTGCACCTCAGCCCCAGAAGAGGTGGCACGGTGGTATTAAGGCCGAGGCCTGGCGCTGCGGTGAAACCAGTCCCTGTCTGTGGGGGACGCCCACGAGGGAGGCAGGACTGTGGGGGACAGACACGCCTCGCTCCTCAGTCCTTCTCCCCTGCATCGCTGTGCGCTGCAAAGGGTCGGTTGAGGACCATGGGGCTGCCGACCCAGCGGGCACCGCCAGGAACGGAGGGGTCACAGATAGCCCACAAGGTCAACGCGATGGAGACCACCTTGTCGAGGGTGGGGGAGGCTGTACCCAGTTGCCCCAGGTCGTCATTGTCCAAAGAGCAGGCGTTGCGCTCCATGACAGTCTGCGTGGCAACACTGAGAATAGACATGGTTGGGTGAAGAACGGCTTGAGCCGCAGATAGGCTTGAGCCAGAATGGCTACGGAAGCTCGTGGGTATACGCGAAGCGTCAACAATGCAAGAGACCAGTCACCCCCATGTTTCGTACCACTGGGGTTCGACCGCGTCTTGAGCCGCCCAAGCGCCCCGTCGGAGCAGTTTGTCGCGTTGTTCCACGGATAATAACGCCCTCGTACGGCGGACCGATTTCTAATCCGCGGCTCGTGCATGTGGCTGTACAGCGGTCGTGCGCGCGCGGCGGACCAGTGCTTGGCCTTGGAGTGCTCGTACGTGCTCGGTGTTAGTGAACACTGCGTTGAGGTTGGGGTTCCCACCGGTGGTTTTAGCTCTTGGGCTCCAGCTTTGTATTGGGCCCCATATCCTTAGTCAGGGCAGAGTCGGTGGCATCGCCATTCAACCTTTCGCGACTAGCATTCAAGGATTAAGCAATTGTAGACGATTTGAAAGACGCTTAGAATACATCATATTCGGGAAATTACCGACAGTCGCACTTCCGGCCAGCCAGCGTATCGGGATCGATGATGTCATCATGTGCCCAGTGCACGCTGTTGCTTGCCAGATGGCGTCTCGCCTGAAACGTCGTGGTGTAGAGTCACGACGGTCCTTCAAGCACATGATCTCGGGATCGACATGAGAGGAGACAGGCGAGGAGAACAAAGAGACGACGGGTGGTCAAGGAGACGACTCGGCACGTTAAGCTTCGCGGGTACGCACGCACAGCTCGACGAGATGTGAGTACGTACCAAGAAGACCGAGCTGGCTGGATCCCAAGCTTGCTCGAACTGCGGCCTTGAGATCTGCGGAGTCATGGGTACACAGTAACGTCGGTTACGGCAGCGTCTGGGGGCGGTCCCTAGTTCTGAAGAGAAAGGCAAATGTCTCGCAACACTCCTGGACCTCAAGTGCATCCGGGGACCCTGGGATAAAGCTCCCTGTTTCGTGGTTGAGGCCGTGGCTGGATTGCTGGATCCGTTTCCCCGAGGCTCGTCAAGGCATGTTTCGGATTTGGGACGGTCTTCGGGACGAGCTTTTTCAGATGGAACCTACGAGTAGGACTGAACACATTCAGGGACAGTTTCGGCGGTGATAACCCATCTTCGGGAGGCTGGGTGGACCGCGACAGTGCCCAACGATTGGAAGGGCCCTGTCATTTCGATGGGTGAATACGATGTCCAATAGTCATTTCCGCCGGGAGCTGTGGTATCAATCGATGAATACCAAGGCTTGCTAGATGATGTCGCAGACAAACTTGCCATGCGCCAGCGGAGACAAGCTGAGTCTCGCTTCGCGGAGCCAGCGCTGCAGGAGGCGTTGAGAACTTGTCGATGCGCATACTCCTTCGCCAGCTCGAAGGGGCCAAGCACGGTCGGCAGCTAGCTGAGGTTATGGTGTGTATTGCCACGGGTGGTGTTGGTTGGAAGACAGGAAGTTTGCTGGTCAACCAAATACCCCCGAAACCCCAGCCCATCGTCTCTGGCTTTGTCATGGCAATCGTAATTGTCGGGCTTTCGACGAACCGGATCAACTAGTACCAGCATCGCCAGATATCGCTAGCGCAGGGAGAGATCGAAGCATGTGATTGGCATCGAGGGCTGTTGTCCTGGAGCTGGACGCTTGCCAGCAGCCCGCCCAGTGAGGAGTGCTAGCAGATGACGCGTCTGTTCACTTGAGGGCTGGGCCCAGGCGCGCTGGGCACTGGCTCTCCTAACGCACCTCTGTTCATTGTTTCAGGGACGCTTCTGCAGGCCAGGACAACATGGACGAGAGAATGAGGAGAGTCGGAGTCGGTATCTGTTATGCTGCTTCCAGGGATCATTTGGTGGACGGGCCCGTGGTCCTGGGGCATCTTGACGTGGAAGTACCAGTCCGTCCCCAGGGAGAGCTTCGAGGCTTCGAGCTGGCCATCAGATGTTCCTTAGGCGATTGAGTTTACATTACAGACGACGAAGCTGCTCGAGGCTGGATTACCAGGCAGTTCGAGCACCTAACAAGATCTCTCGCGGGTATTTCGCGGGAGGTAGGCGTACTGATGAAGGCTCGCATCGGGCCATTTATGGTTCAAAAAATGTCGTCTCGTGTCACCTTTTTATATGACGAGAGTCTTAGGCGCCGCCCAAGCTGGATGATTGCGGGTAACGAAGCCGCAAATCAGATCGCAAAGGAAGCCGCTCGCATTTCCAGGGTTCCAGTGTGGGAGAACGAGACTGCTGGAAGCAGAGGCTTTTGCACGTCTGGTGCGGAGGCGACTACTGAGATCCACGGTGACGTCGATGGCGGCGCCCATCGACGCTCGCGGGATGGCAACATCGTCCCAGCCCCTGCCTGCCCATGCTGCTGCTGCCCGCCCCCTGCCACCCTCCCCCCTCCCGCCGCCGCTCTTGTTAAGGAGCCCACAGAGAACGTACGCGCCCAGCTATGTACATGAACACGGCCCCTTGACCCGCGAGACCTGCCGCGCGATACGAACATTCGCGCAATGCGAACTCTCGAAACCAGCGTGGATTCATGTACATGTACGTCCTTCTTTCGCTCCTGAAATGTCGCGCCCGCTCATCGGTGACCGAGGACGGATCGAGCTGCACGACGCGTCGCTGCTCGGCGACAACGGCCGCCAGGGCCCACCGGCTGGCCACGGCGTGCCTCGAGGCGGCGGCCAGGGGGGGATCGGGCCTCCGCGGGGGGTTCGGGTCCACGCGGGGGCGGGGGGGGGGCTCGCTCACAGCTCTCACGTGATGTGTTTTGGGCAGGGCTGCTGGGCTCACGCTGATTGAGCGTCTTTCGGTCAGTTCGTCCTTGGGGAGTTGGCCAGACCTTGTGGCACGGGGCGTGTTTTCTGAAAGCGGCGTGAGTTCTTCCACCAGCTCACAAAGGGCCTGCGGCCAGAAGATTTAAAGGCGTTGTTGATCCCATTCCCATTCTTCCTCCTCCTCCTCCTCCGCATTAATGCTGCCGTTTCTACTAGTTACCTGGCTTCCTCCTCGGCCTCGCTCCTCCCCCTCCCCCACCCCGACCCCGGCCCTCGAATGCCCCACTCCGCCTCCCAGCTCTTCCGCCCCCCTCTTCTCCTGGCGAGCGGGCGATCTCTCGTCCTTTCACCGCTCCCTCCGCGGGCGGACGCGCGCTCCGGCGGGACCCCGCACGCCCCAGCCACCCAGGGGGGCTAATTGTCATGCAGGATCGAATTCGCCGCGCGCGCACCCCGTCGTGGGGGAACGAAAACGTACCGACACCGCTGCTCCCCAGACCTCTCCCAGGGTGCGTTCTGACCAGTATTTTGAGGCAAGAGCAGGGAGGGCAGCGGTATCGGTATATTTTCCCTCCTCCGACTCCTCCGACGTCGATTACCCCTCGGCACTCAGAGGCCTCCCTGCTGCGCAGCCGCCATCCAAGCTGCGGCCTCCGCGAGGCACACTCGCAGCAAGAGGACGAGGGAGGCGGCGGCGGCCACAGCGGCGGCACAGGCGGAGCGGGAGGTGGCACAGCTCGTGTGGATCACTGCACGCAGAGTCGGGGGTGGTGGAGGAGGAGGAGAAGGAGCAGGAGGAGGAGGAGGAGGAGGAGGAGGAAAAGAAGGAGCAGGAGGAGGAGGAGGAGGAGGAGGAGGAGGGAGGAGCAGAGGAGCAGGAGGAGGAGGAGAGGAGGAGGTGAGGGAGGAGGAGGAGGAGGAGGAGAAGGAGCAGGAGCAGGAGCAGGAGCAGGAGCTAGAGCAGGACCAGGGACAGCAGCAGCAGCGGACAAAGAGAAGGGGAAAAGAGGAGAGGAGGGAAGGACGAGGGAGAATGAGGACGATAATGGTCTGAGGAAGGGGGAGGAGGAGGGATGAGGAAGGCGAGGGGGGATGACGAGGAGGGGAGAGGGTTACCCCAGGCTCAACGCCAACGTGCTGCGAGGCACTGAGTGGAGTGTCCTCAAGTCTCTTCGAATATTCTATGCTGCGTGTTATCTGCCGACCCTGTCGGCGTGATAAAAGGGGAGTCCTGGGTTGGTCGTCACGGGGAGGTCCCAGAAGAATAAGAAGATGCGCTTCGATTCGAATATGTTACCACAGTTCTCTTCGGCCACCTGGGGCACTGTCAGCTCGCCAATCGACACAGGTCGTAACCGAATCGAAAGGAAAACCATTCCTTTTGGTCTTTGATCCCAGCCCGTCATTGGGGGAGGGGAGGCGGGTTACCGAGGGGGGCGGAACCAGGGGAAGCAACCACCCTCTCTGGAGTCTCGGGCGCTCTCCGGGCCAATCCCCCCGCTATCCTCCCCTTTTTGTTCCTCCTCTCCTCTCCTCCCCTCCCACAAAACGCCTCCCCTTCTCCCCTCTCTCCCCCATCCCCTCCCGACCTCCCCCTGCCCCACTGCTCTCCCCCTTCGCTCCTCCTCCTCCTCGCTCGCCCCGATTCCCCTAACCTCTGCTCGAGCCCCGCCCGCCGAATTCCTCAGCCGCGCCGCACCTCTTTCTCGCCGCCGCCCCTCGCCGGGGCCCACCGAGCCGCACCCGAAGGCCGCCCCCAGCACGCGCGCGCCGGAACCTTGTGTGTATTATGTGCGAGCGTGATTATGAGACAGGTTGCGCCCATTAGTGTCTACTAGTGCCTAGGCAGCGCCTATCAGCGCCCACTAACAAGCAGCAATCGACGTCAAGAACCTGGAAAGACAACAAGTCGTGCTTAAAAAGACTCTCACGCATAGCACACCTAACAGAACCGCACCCGACGTGCTCGGCCTGCGCCGCCTCGAAGCGTGCGAGCCCGCCCACGATCCACAACGCGGGGCCGCGGGCGCACGCGCCGCTCCGCGACGTCCCGCCGCCGCGGCCGGCGAGGAGCGCCAGAGACCGCCCTCCGCCGCGGCAGCGGCGCGGCGCGGGCTGCCCCTCGTGAGAGGGGTCGCCAGGGAACGGGAGCACGCCCGGGGGGGGGCTGGGGCGGGCACGAAAGTCTCTCCGCGTACCCCTCGTCACAAATATGGCCCTGGGCCTCTCGAGCGGCCCCCAGGCCTGGCCGTTGGCCGTTGGGCGGGGGAGGATGCGCTCACACTGGGGAGTGGTAGCTGGGCAGCTGGCCGCGGAAACACAAGAGGACTACATGTGGCCCAGGCCGCTACTACTGCACCTGCCACTGCTATGTTTCTGCTACTGCTACTGCTACTGGGTCATCGACCAGTAAAATTACAACCACGATTACGTCTACGCCAACTACTACGACTACGACCACGACTGCGACTTCTACCAGTACTAGTACTAGAACCTACTACTACAACGACGACGACATCGACAACGACTACTGCTACTACTACTGCTACTACTACTACTACTACTACTACTACTACAACTACTACTACTACTACTACTACTACTACTACTACTACTACTACTACTACTACTACTACTACTACTACTACTACTACTACTACTACTACTACTACTACTACTACTACTACTACTACTACTACTACTACTACTACTACTACTACTACTACTACTACTACTACTACTACTACTACTACTACTACTACTACTAATTACTCCTACTACGACTACTACTACTACTACTACTACTACTACTACTACTACTACTACTACTACTACTACTACTACTACTAC